TGCTAAAGGTTGTGTCCTTGTCTATGGCCGATATGAGGATGAGAAAAAGTACTGGAGCAAGCACAGTACCCTCGGGGACTGAGCTCTTTACGGTTGATAGACCGGATTTTATTTTGTTGACTATTACACATTGGGTTCTGTTAGCCAGGAAATTGTAGATCCATCTGCCTATTTTTCTGGTAATTCCTTTTGAATGCATTTTATATACAATAACACCATGGTCACATTTATCAAAGGCTTTTGCGAAATCTGTGTAAATTACATCAGCGTTTTGTTTGTCTTCTATAGCATCTAATGCCATATCATAGTGGTCCAGCAACTGCGACAAGCAAGAGCGCCCTGTTCTGAAACCATGTTGTCCGGGGTTATGGAGATGCTGTGATTCCATGTATTTTGTGATCTTACTTCTTAGCACTCTCTCAAAGATTTTTATGATGTGTGATGTTAGTGCTATCGGTCTGTAATGATTTGCCTCTGCCTTATTTCCTCCTTTATGGAGTGGTGCTATCTCTGCTGTTTTTAGTATATCAGGGATAACGCCAGTATCTAGGCTTTGTCTCCATAGAATGTGAAGGGCCTGCGATAGTGGTTTTTGTTGCAGTTCTTGATGACTATATAGAGTTCCAAGAGTCTGGGCCTGGTGCAGAGTGCATAGGCATACTGTCTATGGCTTTTTCAAAATCCAGTGGGGATAGAATGACGTCTGATATATGATTTGATGTTGGTATCACGTCCATGAAAAATTAATTTGGGTTATCAATCTTTAGTGTGTTTAGTGACTCGCTGAAAACAGAGTCGTACTGCTTCCTAAGTAGCTCGCTCATTTCTTTGTTGTCATCGGTGAAAGTTCCATCTCCCTTTCGCAGGGGCCCGATACTAGATGTGTTTTTTTTTTTATCTAGATTTTGCATGGGAGGAAAAATATTTCGGATTTCTCTCTAGACGAGCCGTCCGCCACCCTCGGGAATGCTCCCCCCCCCCAGTAGGCGGTCACCTACCCCCACTAATAAATTAGGGTAAGTTACCCCTGGTGTCGCCCCATATAGCGCGGGAAGAAGGCCAGGCCGCCTCACCCGGCTATTAGCGTCGGGCCGGGATGATGAACCCATTTGATAGAGTGGGACCTATTTTGTTACTGCTCAAGTAGCCTATTCTTATGTAGAATGGTGTGTTTGATTTGTGTTAAGCGTTAAAGGGCTATGAACCGCGGTGTTACAACCGTTCTACGGGTCACACTCGCAAATTCTTAAATAGTCATTATTTTGGAAAAGTTTAGTAATTAAATATTTGTTCTTCCTTAAACGTGACGGTTTATGTATAAAATGTTAACCAGCATATATACATTCCCTGCTACAGTATACAGTGTTAGAGAGCTAACACTGCTATATAGTTCTAAATGAAGATAGTTAACACTGATAGTTCTCTCTTGAACACTGAGGAGTCGGCCAGTTATGTCCCTTCTGTGTAGTGGAAGCGTGTTGAACAGTCTCGGGCCTCTGATGTTGATAGTTCTCTCTCAGAGTACCTGTTGCACCTCTGCTTTTCAACGGGAGTATTCTGCACATCCTGCCATGCCTCCTGGTCTCATGTGGTGTTATTTCTGTGTGCAGGTTTGGGACCAGCCCCTCTACTATTTTCCACGTGTAAATTATTATGTATCTCTCACGCCTGCGCTCAAGAAAATACAGATTTAGGCACTTTAGTCGGTCCCAATAGTTTAGATGTTTTACTGAGTGGATTCTAGCAGTAAAGGATCTCTGCACGCTCTCCAGGTCAGCAATTTCTCCAGCTTTGAAAGGGGCTGTCATTGTGCAGCAGTACTCCACTCTAGAGAGCACTAGCGTCTTGAAGAGTATCATCATCGGTATAGCATCTCTAGTGTGAAAAGTTCTTGTTATCCAACCTGTCATTTTTCTTGCAGTTGTGACGGCTACTTTATTGTGTTCTTTAAAGGTAAGGTCTTCCGACATGAGTACACCCAAATCATGTACATTGACTTTTTCATTCTATGTTATGATTTGACTGTACGTGGTTTCCGTTTTTATATTTTCATTTTTTCCGTAGCGCATGAGCTGGAACTTATCCTCGTTAAACACCATATTTTCTGTAGCCCATAGAAAGACCTGATTTTTATCTTGGTAATGAAAATAATGCATTTTTACAAAAATCTTATTTGTCTCAAGTATTTTCTAACGAGTATATATTTCTCAAGAGTGTGTGTAAATATTATTGCACAATCTATATAATTAATATTTATATATTTATTTACTTGGTTGAAAGTGACTGTATTGCTCTCACTATTATCTTTTGATTTGTTGATTTTGATGTCGAGACATTTGATGCATGTGATAATGATCTTTGTATGAGTGTAGAGTCGCGTGATCAACCAACATTCATAGTCAGTCTGGGTTTTAGGAGAATAAAACACAATAAGAATGACTTATGACGTATTGATAATAATAATAATGGTAATGTTTAATTAGGAAAAAGTACATACATACAATATGAGTTACAAACAGAATTTTGGATTTGTGCGCAACTTGTTGAAAAATGTGCACATTCCTGCCCGGAACATCTTCAGGTGAGATATAGTGTTTAGCATCCATGATTTTTGATGTGTGTATTTGTGTAGGTGATTAAATATGTATATATGTATGTACATGTATGTGTATATGTATGTACATGTATGTGTATATGTATATATAACATTAATAATTGTGTAACTAGCGTCAAAAATTTTTATTTGCTTAACTAAACGAACTAGAGTGTTCAGTTTCTGAACCGAAGGCACTACGGGCTCACTATAGCCCGTGCTACTTGGAACTTTGTTCCAGGTAGCAAATCTTTAACAACAACAATAATCCTGAACCGATTGTGTGCCTCTGTAACCCTTTACACCACCGTCCACGGGATGGGTATGGGGTGAATAATAAAGAAGAAATTGAATTGATGCGGGGAATACATACAATGATAGAGGTGACATGGGGATACATACAATGATACAGGTGACATGGGGATACATACAATGATAGAGGTGACATGGGGATACATACAATAATAGAGGTGACATGGGGATACATACAATAATAGAGGTGACGGGGATACATACAATAATAGAGGTGACAGGGATACATACAATGATACAGGTGACATGGGGATACATACAATGATAGAGGTGACATGGGGATACATACAATGATAGAGGTGACATGGGGATACATACAATGATAGAGGTGACGGGGATACATACAATAATAGAGGTGACATGGGGATACATACAATGATAGAGGTCACATGGGGATACATACAATAATAGAGGTGACATGGGGATACATACAATAATAGAGGTGACGGGGATACATACAATAATAGAGGTGACAGGGATACATACAATGATACAGGTGACATGGGGATACATACAATGATAGAGGTGACATGGGGATACATACAATGATAGAGGTGACATGGGGATACATACAATGATAGAGGTGACGGGGATACATACAATGATACAGGTGACATGGGGATACATACAATGATAGAGGTGACATGGGCATACATACAATGACAGAGGTGACGGGAATACATACAATAATAGAGGTGACATGGGGATACATACAATAATAGAGGTGACGGGGATACATACAATGATAGAGGTGACAGGGATACATACAATAATAGAGGTGACATGGGGATACATACAATAATAGAGGTGACGGGGATACATACAATGATAGAGGTGACAGGGATACATACAATAATAGAGGTGACATGGGGATACATACAATAATAGAGGTGACGGGGATACATACAATAATAGAGGTGACAGGGATACATACAATGATACAGGTGACATGGGGATACATACAATAATAGAGGTGACAGGGATACATACAATGATACAGGTGACATGGGGATACATACAATGATACAGGTGACATGGGGATACATACAATAATAGAGGTGACAGGGATACATACAATGATACAGGTGACATGGGGATACATACAATAATAGAGGTGACGGGGATACATACAATAATAGAGGTGACAGGGATACATACAATGATACAGGTGACATGGGGATACATACAATGGTTTCCTCTATGACTGCTGACTGAGCAGGTTAAGTTCACAGTTATTTTATATACATTTTCTTATACATTTATGAATGTGGTGTCGATACTTTAAATGATGCAGATTTTGACATATGAATAAAAGCTTTATAGTGTAATGTTAACTATTTCACCTCAACAAGAGGCTGTAGGTTGAGGAACGTGTTACATCTATCTACATCAACATTTTTAATGAGCATACGAATCTGTAGATAATCTACTCGCTCCTGTAGGAGAATGTTGATTACTGATGAAGATAATGTTGTGTATCTATCACTGTGTTAAGTCTGGTGTGCCGATGTCTGCCTCATGTCCAATAAAATGACTTAACGAGCACCTACAGCACACTCTCATTGGTTATAATGGAACCTGTCATCCAACAATGATAGTACAGTACTCTACTATTCCTAGAACCTATAAAATTAAACTGTTGCACTCTGAAAGTTCACATTTTGTACTGTCAATGTTGCAGAGAATGACGACAACAACCAAACCTAAACTTCCCCAGATCTGTACATATTTATGCCTATTATGACATATTTGGCTTAAGATTGGTTATTTAGGCATATGATAGTATACATCCTAAATTAACCTATTCACATTTCTGGCATGATATTTGGAGTGTTCCAATAATAATATGTCAACTTTTCGGTACAACAGTACATTTCTGTACATTTGACCAATTTCAATGCCATGAATTTTAGAGGATGTATTGAAATAGTGGGATGTAGGCACAACATAGGTCTATTGCACCTAGCCTCACCATAGGTCTACCTCCTCCCATGGTAACTAACCCACATTAACCTGTCCAATAACTCAGTCATATACTGTATGGACTAACAACTGTAAAAAGCCACTAATAATGTTTTATCTTGTTTCTTTACAGAAATTGTGCAAGGTGAGCGTGGAGCTTTGTTAACCCCTGCTAGCGTGTGGCTGCTTCCCTGCTGGCTTGCTGTGCTGATCCTGTCTAACCCCCAACTGCTGTTGCTGTTGCACCGACATCACATACCACCCCCCCCCCCTCCTGGTTTCATCCCAACCCCACCCTCACTCTGCCTCACCTCATCTTCACAGCTTCCTTTACCCTGTCCTCATATCTCAGATCCTTGTCCCCATGTCCTTTCCAAGTGCTATAGCTATACTGGCGTTGCACTTTCTCCTCGTAATTACCTTACCTTCCCTGCCCTAATGTCACCTTACCTTCCCGGCCTCTACATAAAAAGCTTTCTCTAACAATCTTGAAAATAATGCAAAAGTCCTGGTATAAGTATTAATTCCAACATGTTCCTTTATATATATATATATATATATGTGTGTGTGTGTGTGTATATATCACGAAAGTAAACACGTGATTAAAAATGTGACAATGTCAGACCACGGAGGAAAAATGAAACAGGAATTTCCTTAAGTACTTTCGTATATTAATACATCTTCAGAAGGACTCCTTCTGAAGATGTATTAATATACGACAGTACTTAAGGAAATTCCTGTTTCATTTTTCCTCCGTGGTCTGACATTGTCATATATATATATATATATATATATATATATATATATATATATATATATATATATATATATATATATATATATATATATATATATATCGTAATGGCTGTGATGTATGCAATAGTTCTTGTATGATTCAAATATGTATTTCAGGCCCGCCCCTCAATCCAACTGTATAATATGTAGTCTTTTACGACTTTAAGAGAAAATCTGAATAAATAAGAATGTTAAGACCAGAATATAAAACTAAAAGAATGCAATATGAGAAAAAGTGTGGTCACACTTAAGAAGCTAACACACTTTATCTAATCACACCATGAACAATAGGAACTCACATGTTCTCACATGTTATGTGAGGAAACTACTTCACTTATTCCTTGTTCAGTGGTATTGTCACTACATCACTAAGCAGTGATGTAGTGGCAACATCACTACTCACCACCACACACCAACACCTCCACTCACTACTACCACCACACACCAACACCTCCACTCACTACTCACCACCACACACCAACACCACTACTCACCCCCACACACCAACACCACAACTCACCCCCACACACCAACACCACAACTCACCAACACCACAACTCACCACCACACACCAACACCACAACTCACCAACACCACTACTCACCAACACCACTACTCACGCCCACACACCAACACCACAACTCACCAACACCACAACTCACCACCACACACCAACACCACTATTCAACACTACTCACCCACACACACCAACACCACAACTCACCAACACCACAACTCACCACCACACACCAACACCACAACTCACCACCACACACCAACACCACAACTCACCACCACACACCAACACCACAACTCACCACCACACACCAACACCACAACTCACCACCACACACCAACACCACTACTCACCAACACCACAACTCACCAACACCACAACTCACCACCACACACCAACACCACAACTCACCAACACCACTACTCACCCCCACACACCAACACCACAACTCACCAACACCACTACTCACCCCCACACACCAACACCACTACTCACCAACACCACTACTCACCCCCACACACCAACACCACAACTCACCACCACCACAACTCACCAACACACACCAACACCACTACTCACCAACACCACTACTCACCAACACCACTACTCACCACCACGCACCAACGCCTCCACTCACTACTACCACCACCCCCACACACCAACACCACTACTAACCAACACCACTACTCACCACCACACACCAACACCACTACTAACCAACACCACTACTAACCAACACCACTACTCACCACCACACACCAACACCACCACACACCAACACCACCACACACCAACACCACCACACACCAATGTGTGTCAATGAGAAATGTCACAAGTGGAGTACCACAGGGTTCAGTTCTTGCACCAGTGATGTTTATTGTGTACATAAATGATCTACCAGTTGGTATACAGAATTATATGAACATGTTTGCTGATGATGCTAAGATAATAGGAAGGATAAGAAATTTAGATGATTGTCATGCCCTTCAAGAAGACCTGGACAAAATAAGTATATGGAGCACCACTTGGGAAATGGAATTTAATGTTAATAAATGTCATGTTATGGAATGTGGAATAGGAGAACATAGACCCCACACAACCTATATATTATGTGAGAAATCTTTTAAGAATTCTGATAAAGAAAGAGATCTAGGGGTAGTTCTAGATAGAAAGCTATCACCTGAGGACCACATAAAGAATATTGTGCAAGGAGCCTATGCTATGCTTTCTAACTTCAGAATTGCATTTAAATACATGGATGGCGATATACTAAAGAAATTGTTCATGACTTTTGTTAGGCCAAAGCTAGAATATGCAGCTGTTGTGTGGTGCCCATATCTTAAGAAGCACATCAACAAACTGGAAAAGGTGCAAAGACATGCTACTAAGTGGCTCCCAGAACTGAAGGGTAAGAACTACGAGGAGAGGTTAGAAGCATTAAACATGCCAAAACTAGAAGACAGAAGAAAAAGAGGTGATATGATCACTACATACAAAATAGTAACAGGAATTGATAAAATCGACAGGGAAGATTTCCTGAAACCTGGCACTTCAAGAACAAGAGGTCATAGATTTAAACTAGCTAAACACAGATGCCGAAGAAATATAAGAAAATTCACCTTCGCAAATAGAGTGGTAGACGGTTGGAACAAGTTAAGTGAGAAGGTGGTGGAGGCCAAGACCGTCAGTAGTTTCAAAGCGTTATATGACAAAGAGTGCTGGGAAGACGGGACACCACGAGCGTAGCTCTCATCCTGTAACTACACTTAGGTAATTACACCAACACCACCACACACCAACACCACTACTCACCAACACCACAACTCACCACCACACACCAACACCACCACACATCAACACCACAACTCACCAACACCACTACTCACCACCACACACCAACACCACAACTCACCACCCACACACCAACACCACTACTCACCAACACCACAACTCACCACCACACACCAACACCACCACACACCAACACCACAATTCACCAACACCACAACTCACCACTACTAACCAACACCACTACTCACCACCACACACCAACAACACCACACACCAACACCACAACTCGCCACCACACACCAACACCACACACCAACACAGTAAAATGATAATAACAAGCTCAAACCTTCAAAAGACTTTACAAGCTGCTGTTAATAATAAAGATTTATTCTGCCAAATCTTACCAAAATTGTATATTATTTATATTTTTACGACGTGAAGCTCATTGTGTAACATGTTCAGTAATGAAGCATCCATCATTCTTAAGATTTACGACGTACCTGTGAAGCTGTGATTAGTCTTAGCCCGATTGTTTAGTTTGTGCTTGCTTCTTAAGTTATCTTCCTAGACAGCAACCACACAGATGAAGGGACTAAGCAGAATGTAAAGAGAAACAGTCAAACAAAATCAAGTCCAAGTGCAGTGAAAGGCTGTGTACCTCAGAGGGCACAGTCCTTGCACTACTGCTCCTCAGAGGGCACAGTCCTTGCACTACTGCTCCTCAGAGGGCACAGTCCTTGCACTACTGCTCCTCAGAGGGCACAGTCCTTGCACTACTGCTCCTCAGAGGGCACAGTCCTTGCACTACTGCTCCTCAGAGGGCACAGTCCTTGCACTACTGCTCCTCAGAGGGCACAGTCCTTGCACTACTGCTCCTCAGAGGGCACAGTCCTTGCACTACTGCTCCTCAGAGGGCACAGTCCTTGCACTACTGCTCCTCAGAGGGCACAGTCCTTGCACTACTGCTCCTCAGAGGGCACAGTCCTTGCACTACTGCTCCTCAGAGGGCACAGTCCTTGCACTACTGCTCCTCAGAGGGCACAGTCCTTGCACTACTGCTTTATCTCATTCTCATATCAGATATAGACAAAAATACTAGTCACAGCTTTATGCCATCCTTTACAGATGATACAAAAATCCAGCCCATTCTCGCAAGCTTCCCAACATCAAGAAACTGTCAAATTAAAGTGCCCTAACCTAACCTATCAGACACCCAACGATTTCTGGGATTTTCCTGGCAAAGTTAGCAACATATGATGAGAAGAAGGCATTAAATTCAGTTGCTCTATTATATTCTCATATCAAATATAGACAGAAATACAAGTCACAGCTTTGTGTCATCTTTTGCAAATGACACAAAAATCAGCATGAAAATTAATTCTATAGAAGGCATTGGAAAACTACTAGCCTATATTAATCAAGTTCTCAATTGGGTAGCAGAAAAAAACATGTTTAACAGTGATAAATGTCAGGTACAGTACTTAGATATGGTAAAAATGAAGACCTTAAACAAAATACAAGGTACAAAACACAATAAAATCTACCCATAGTAGGAAAGCATCATGTAAAGCATCTGGGAACATGATGTCTGATGATCTAACGTTTATGGAGAATAACCAAGCAAATCACTTGTGCTGACCCGTCTTGAGTACTGCTCAATACTCACTCACCTTCAGAGCGGGAAAGATTGCTGAAACAGACGAAATATTGAAGTACAGAGAACATATACGACACACAGTCGTGATAAAGCACCTAAACTATTGGAATTGTCTCAAAGCTCTCTAGAAAGGTGACGAGAGAGGTATTGAATAATACTAATATAAACAAAAGGACATCGATGAAACAGAAGAATACAAAATACTTTTTCTTCTATGCAAAATCTAGAACAAAAACTACATCCAACACTGGGTCCTTGTGACTAGAGATTCTGTTTCTCTTGCCTCATAGTCCATCCTGAGGTAGAGTTTTCTTGTTCTTCCTGACCAGCAAGGCTGTTGTTACTTGTACCATACACTACAGCATTGGTTGTTAACAGGCTCTGATGAAAGAAAACATTCCTATGGTTTCCCATTTTGAGGACAAAAAGTCTGTTAGGGTAATCAGGTCTGCCAGCGACTGATCCTCTCCAGGATGCAACCTGCAACAGTTGCTTAATTCCCAGGGATTATTAGGGTGAGAGTTTCGAGCACAAAATCTCAATGTTTAACCAAATAGTTCAGTAAACAAGTTTAGTTTGGCTAAACAAATTTTTATAAGTAGTAACAGCAAGTAAAGGAAAAATATTGGGGGTCATACAATGGAATAGAACCCACATCTTTTGACTCCTTGGGCACACTTGCTACCGAAATACTTTTCAGCACATAAAGGTCCAGTCGGTAGTGCATATGCCAGTGGAGTCCAGGATCACGGGTTCGATACCCTCATACAATCCCAATATGTTCTCGTAGATGCATCACATTCTTGAGATTTCATTGTTCAGTAAGTAAAGTATAACTAAGCAAATTTATGTATACAAGATCTTGGTCAATATGTCAAATTAAATGTAAAAATGCAAAAAATTATGTTAACTCCTATATAAATGCCATTAAACTATCAATGTCATGTATTCTAGTGAAAATTAGACTTCCAAATTAGAATTTGTTTATTTTCCTGTAAACATTGTTGAGAGTGGTATAAGCTAGAGAATGTTTTGAACAAGAGAGATTAGTATAGTAATGCTTATTTCATGGCAACCTTGTGGCCACAGATGGGGAGTGCCCGGCCTGCAGTCCCGTTGAGACCTACGAGAACATCCTGGACAACTACTGCCGGGCAGACCTGGGTGAGTATACATGTCATCATTCTTATTCCCCCGGCCTATACACAATGTAACCACAATATTTTATTTTATTTACTATTTTTACATTGTTACAATGTTGTAATATTTAGAAAACGTTGTGTTTGCCTAATGTAAGACTGGTTCATTTCTCTAGTGTTTTATGTTCTTTAGATAGGGCAGGAGGGGAAAGTGCAAGGCACGCAGAGACTGAGCTTTACATGGAGACTAAGAGGGAGAAGGGGAAGGTGTTCATTCATATCCAAAAGATTCACACTGAAAAAGTAATACAGTCTGTGAAAGAAATATTTGATGGAAGTTACACCGAATATGGAGACAAAAAAAGTGAGACATGCATTAGGAAAATGAGATAGAAGGAAAACATGAATATGAGGAAAGTGATGTGCATAATAAGCGAGACACAATGAGAACAAAGATGGAGAAAATGAGAATTCTCACTGTAGTGGACAGGAAGCCTGTACTTAAACTTACTGAAGTGCCCCCCTATGTCAACTACAGTACTCGGATGTAATGCCACAACAGTTGCCTAATTCCCAGATACCTATTTTACTGTCAAGGAGACCAGAGGCATCAGGTGAAAGGAAACATGCCCAACCATTTCTGTCCTGCCTGGGAATTGAACAATAGGATTCTTGATTGTTAGTTCAGATTCAGAATAATACGTAGGCAACATTAAAGTAAGAGGTGTACACAAAACTATCGAAATTGCCCACAGGAAAAAGCATGAAATAAAATTAGACAAATTATCAAAAGCAATTATTGCATAATATTTTTGGGTAAATCTGAGGTGCAAGGATGAGAGAGAAACTATTTATTAAAATATAAACATGAATACTGTACAGTATACTGTACAGTACTGTATATCATATTATAAATACAGCAACTAATTTAGAAATTTGCCAAAATTTAATCATATTTATTTAAGGGGATATACTGTAAATACAAATCTAAATATACTGTATCAACAAAAAATAGAACACAAAATGCCTCTTGTGGGCCAATAGGAGCTGCCTCGTATGGGGCAATAGGAGCTATGTACCTCATATGGGCCAATAGGACTTCAGCTGTTTCCTTCATTCTTGCATTCTTAAGTTAATTGAAAAGATGAAGAATAGGTTGCTGGAAGCATCAAAGAATGTTAGAAGAATAAGTCCAATTACTGTATGATCTTTTGTTTACAATGTGATCTCGGCATATGTTTTTTACCTAGTTCCCAAAACCAGAATAAACCTACTTTTCAAAGCCAATTTCCTTCACTGGTTACATTTATGAGCTTCAGATCTAATTCAAGGTCAGATTTGAATAATTATCAATTCATTTCTGTACAATTTGTTGCATATTTCATACAAAACTATATCTGCCATTTTAACACTTTCCTTACTTTCCTAGTTGTGAAAACACGTGTGAAGAAACAGCGCAGAGCACAACTGGTGATCAAGAAGTCTAGACGAATATACAAGAGCATGAAGTCTACGGAGGATGAGAGACGAGCACTGAAACGCATTCGTTTCTCTTTGACTGAAGAAGCAAGCTGTTGTTCCATTGCTCCTTCCAGGAAACCATTCCTTATAATGGGTCGTCAACTTGGGGCAGTATTCATACCAACTTTCGTCATGCCATACAAGAAGTCAAAGGTATGTATGTGAAGTTGTCGTTTACAGTTATCACAGATTTCCATATTATTATTATTACCTGTACTGTATTATTATTATTATTATTTTAAAACATAATCCTAATTAAATATTTCCAGTAGGAATACCTAATATAACATTCTTGTCAGACCGTTATTTGTTGCTCTTGTTTCATATTTTGAAACACTTATTATGAAAGGAAATTGTTTTTGTCATAATTGGCCATGTAGCTCTGGTGACCTATTTTAGAAGCTACTTTTAAATGGATAACTGGCACCTGTGATTATTTCCTTTGTTCAAATTCGCTAAATGCTATTTTTTTTACATAAGTTTTGTGGACTATTTTTTATCACATCACGATGTAGGCCTTAATTATCTGAGCCATCTGTGGTAAAGAATAATCCAAAGTTGTGAGATATGCAAGATGCCAGTACGAGAGCAGGAAGACATAATATGAGGGTTGTTAATGGCGTAGGATTTCACAGAGGATTGTACTGATAGATGTAAGACTTCATCAGTATGATCAGTACAAGATGAATGTCCCAAATTTGCACAGTAGAATAACAACATACTGGAGTGAAAGATACGGAAGGAAATGCAGAATAGAACCAGTGAGGAGTAGAGGTGCCATAGTCACAATCAGAGAACACTGAACATCGGAGGTCCACAGCTGTTCAACACCCTCCCAGCAATTATTAGAAATATTGCCAGAATGAAAGTGGATATATTCAAGAGGCACTTGGACAGGTTCTTGCAAGAAGCCCCCGGACAAACCAGGCTGTGGTGGATATGTGGGCCTGTGGGCAGCTCCAAGCAACAGCCTGGTGGACCAAATTATCACAAGTCGAGCCTGGCCTCAGGCTGGGCTCAGGGAGTAAAAGAACTCCCAGAACCCTCTCCAGGTATGCTCATTGGAACAATGGAAAAAGGCTTTCCAATCATTCCAGATATTCTTTGAGGAGCCCTGGTCGAGGACCGGGACATTGAGTCCTGAAATCATCGCAAGGACTGTGACTGTTAAAACAATGTACTGTACTTTTGACAGTAAGGTGATGGAACAGAGACTAGCACATGACCATGATATAATGCCAATGAGTTAATCATGTGAGGCCAATACAAAAACCTATTAAGTGACATTCTGCAGTTCTTGCTTCAGTCACTGGGATAGGTCACATATGAGAGTACTCCACATAATTTGGTATTTGTATAATAGGTCCTTACCTGTTGGGCAGATTAAGAATCATACTGAAGCCTCAGTATTTCACTCATTTCTTTATAGTGTCATCTGTGAAGATTCCATCACTCTTGCACAAGTGTAATGGGGGACAGGGAATGGTTCTCTACTGTCCATTATCCCGCCCTTAGTTAACTATTCTAGAGTTCCCCCAGAGTTACCACTGCAACCTCTCCAGTTCAACACCTTATCACCTAAGTATTTGATTACCTAGGTACTACACCAACAAGGCATTGTACTTGATCAGCTACCCGTAACTCTAGAGAATTCTAGAACATTCCACTGCCACCACCTGATTCACTTGACCCTGATTAATCCCCCCTAATGGATGATGAAACAGGAAGTTGCCCATTAGACATAATCCCCAGAATATGGATCCCCAGTTATGAATAGGAAGGATGAACTTACTATCAAATGTGGCTTACTGAACTAGAACAAGGGAACATCTATTGAAAAGATAAAGAAACTTACAGAGAACCCAAGGTGTTATCGCCCAAAGCCAAGGATCTCAAGATCCACATAATCATGAAACACAAGAAAGGGAACTCACTAAACACGAATAAATGAATAATCAAATTTATTACAACACAAATTAATTATAATTGAACACTCTCTAGCTGACTATATCCTAATTTTGGCAAATGACATGACGTTTATTAAACAATACATTAACATTGAGACTTAACCTTACCCCTCTTCCCCCTGCAAAGTCCTGGGCCAGAGGTCATGACCTTGACCTCCCCCCAGGGAAGAGCCACCTCCTCCAGTCACTGTTCAAACCACACTGAACTTCTTAGCCTGCTCTCTCAAGCTGAGACTGACCTAGGCTAGTTGCCAAATTAATCTTCAAGGATGATTAACAAAGATTAATCTTGTACTGATCGCTGAAGGCGACCTAATCATCATTCCAGAACAACTGGAAAATTACCTAGATACTTGAACAGGTAAATTATTGAATACAATATTGAATGATAACTTGCATTTCTCTACATTATTGAATTAACAGCAAGGAGGAGTCATGGAGTAGAGGGAGGGTGAAGGTGGGGGGGGGGGGTGAGACCAGTCTCATGCTGGCGACCTGACCTAAGCGAGGCAGGTGTTGCCAGTCCTTACACGAGTCGTCTGATCTTGAACTAAAGAGGAGATTTGATTATTTATAATGTTAAATTAATCTACGTACACAAGGTTATTAATAATTACAGTTACTTTAATACATGAATTTCTCAAAAGTGATAATTTAAATACAAGAAGTTGGTGATCCTTGCTTCCACACCTCTGCTCTAATCTCCTGGGATGAACCTTTTCCAACCTTTCAAAGCAGAACTACCACTCCACTGCATTTTTTGTACAAAGGCGTATCCACACTACCTTCAATACAGTCACCTATCTTAAACAGCTTCGACTGTTACACAAGGGCCCCTTGGAAAATGTAGTTTTTGTTCTAGATTTTGCACAAGAGAAAATGTATTTTGGATTCCTTTCTACAGTATTTCATTTATGGTCTTTTACTTGGGCAAAATGAGCCACACAAAATACATCCCCAGAATGTCTACTGAAGAAAGCAGTGAAGTGCCCTCAGTCACTGTTTGGGGTGAACATCATACATAGAGCCAGATCTAGCTGTTTTTGGGCCCCCTCTAGGCCAAAACAGCTAAATGGACTCCACCCTCTGGTCAATGTGGCTATTTAAAGGCTAAACATATGGGGCTCTCTGGTGCTGGTGGGCCCGAGGTCGTGGCCTCCTTGGCCTATTGGGTACTTTGGCCCTGATCACCCAAACAGGAGCCAGGTTGCTCTTAAGGTGCAAAAGAAACCAGTGGAAAAATTGACACACTCTTACGCCAGCCAAAGTTCATAGGTGCAGCAGCAACAGGGCCGACCAAGGCAGAGAAAGAGGGTGGGCCTGGCCCATAACAGCCAGATCTACCAGATTCTTTGAGGAATAAGACATTGTAGGACCTTGCAAATCAGTTTTGGAAAGAGCCGAACATAATTGTTAAGCCAAAATAGCAGAGTTTTTTTTAATGAGTGTAAGAGGTGCCTGTGCTAAATGCAAGTCAAACCCTGAACTCAGGAAAGGATCATGCCTAAGATCCAGGAAAATGAGCCAAGAAACACTCAAAACAACCTTGCAAATTCTGGACACAGTGGCCTAAAAGTGCACAGGTGACATCCTATTATGGCAGCTAACATCGAAAATGACTGTGCAGTGCTGCTGCAAGGTGTAGAGGGGGTGACCTGCAAGTGATTAGGGCAATTGATGACTTGAAACTAATTCACCATACGTCCAAAAAATGCAAGCACTGACCTGGTCCAAAATACCTTACAAAGTGGCAGATGAGGCACAGGTCTTCAATGCCATCAGAACCCATGAAAACTCTACCTAGAATGATGGTACAATACATCACTCACACTAATTGCTTATAATTTTGGATATAGAGGAGCACCGGTTAGGTGATACAGTATTCAGACTGGTTACGCAGCTGAATAATACCACGAATAATTTTAATTATATAATGGGTAAAAATACAATCCAGTATTGCAACTGTATATTTTATTAGTGGTAAAGCCGGTGGCCAAGCGGACAGCACGCTGGACTTGTGATCCTGTGGTCCCGGGCTCTATCCCGGGCACCGGCGAGAAACATTGGGCAGAGTTTCTTTCACCCTGATGCTGCTGTTACTTAGCAGTAAATAGGTACCTGGGAGTTAGTCAGCTGTCAAGGGCTGCTTCCTGTGGGTGGAGGCTGGTCCTCGACCAGGCCTCCACCCACAGGAAGCAGCCGTGGGGACACTAAGCCCCAAAATCATCTCAAGATAACCTCAAGATAATGGCTAATGTACTTCAATGTTAATTGAAGTTATTATAAGTTTGAATTTTGCATTATCTCTGATTAGCAGGTTACCAATTCAAAAATAAATAAAATTGTATAAAGAAGTACTAATGAGTAGGGGGAATTATTTGGGGAGGTTATTTTGGGGGTGACAGAGATATCTTCAGACAATTCAGTAATCTTTTTTGGAAAATGATAAATGTTTTAAGATTTCACAAATTTTTGCACTACATTATTTATTTTTTTATTTTTAATAATGCACTATTTGATCACTCCTTGGTTTAGGTTTGTGCGGTCTGTAAAGAAGTATCTAGTATTTGTGTCCTGCTCGAAACGCTTTGGGTAATAGTGGCTTTAGGCTTTGTATGTACTAGCTCTATCTGTAAATCCATCAATGTTTGTATCTCACCTTGTATGTATGTACTTTACCTGAATAAACATTTGATTTCATTTGATTTTTTATTTGATTTTTAGTTATTGCCACCTTGTTAAGATCTGTTTTTCTACAACAGCTACCATTAGCCCCTCAACTGCATGGTTTCCAAATATGGCACCCCCCCAGTGCACAGGAAATAAATTTTCTGTAAAAAATTATTTTTTTGTTTTTGTTTTGAAAGTGTCAAAAGCCTTTCCCTGAGTATGGGTATACTGTAGTAACAGAAGGTCGAAGTTGTACTTACTTTGGTTGCTATGGGGTCCGTAAGTTGGTGCGTGATGTCATCATTTCCCGTTCGCCCGTGGCGTACGCTCCCGGGGTCAGTAGGGGGCCCAGGGCAGTATGTGCGCACTGCCATGAATATATTTTTGTTCATTTTCTGCACACAGTTCCAAATACAACTTATGTGTTTTTACGTGCTAATCCTATGTATAATGAACACGTACACTATATTATGGCAGTAGAACATCCGTACTGTCCGTAGACACACTGTTACATGCATCACAAATGTGTTCACCTATCCTGCACATATTTCCAATGTATCAAGCTAATATATTTATATTTACAACCTATATACACACTATACAGTCTCACACACTATATATACAGACCATAAACACACTCAGAACTCCGCGAGTGTGATATGCTGCGAAACAGCCAACGGGGCATAGTGGCACCTTGCACTCCATGCACCAGGTGCTGATGCATCTACGCTTTTGTTCTCTGCGGGTAACGTTCCTGCATACTACATACACACGTTTACCCTTCTCCCGTGATGCTGTGCCTGGCATATACTCGAGTATGTGTATGTACTCCAAAATTCTTGTTACTGCTCAGTCTGTCTGGAGCTGCGTGTGGCATTGTTGCTTACACCCCGCATGGTGCAACGGAGCCCTCCTTGCCATACTCTACTAGCAGTTGTGACACAACACCAGCACTGAATGTACATATTGGCGGTCTCCTGCCAAATTTTACCAGGTACATATTGAAGCAGTTGAGCACTGCAACATCTATTAAGTGGAAGAAGAACTTTTTCGTCCACTTCACAGACTTGCGCACGCAAGTCTGTGAAGCACTGTCCTTCCACCGCACTGACAGCATATTGTCACACTTGCACAGCTGGCAGTCACCCACTGCTTTTCCAATGCCAAACACTGGCATTTCCTTCCTGTGGGCCTTCACAATGCCACATATGCCGGTGTTGTGGGCAAGGAGGTATCTGGTCAACAAAGGGCTGGTGTAATAGTTGTCGGTGAACAGTATATGCCCCTTGTTCAGCAACGGTTCCATCAGGGTTTTTACGACACTGCCGGAGAACCCGTGTGGGTCGTGAGCTGGTATGTCGATGTCTGTACCAGAATACAAAATCATGTCCAAGACCATACTAGTCTCACAGTCGCACAGCACGAAAAACTTCAGTCCAAAACGGTGCCGCTTTGATGGGATGTACAGCTTGAATGCCAGTCACCCCTTGAACAGTACTAGTGATTCGTCGATTACCACATTCTGTGCAAGTACAAAATAATCCCTGAACTGCCTCTCATGTCATTGAACACCTTCCGTACCTTCCACAGTCTGTCGTGTCTGTCCTCATTTGCATTATTCTCGAAATGCAGGCACCTGAGAATCAAGAGGAATCTATCACGCGACATATCGGATGAACACGAGCGATGGAACAAGGCTGTCTTTGCTCCAATAATCCTGGATGACAGCTTTCTCAGAGTGCTTCATCATCATGCTGAGTGCCAGAAACACATACATTTCATCAATTGTCGTGTCCTTCCATTGCGCGAGGCGTGAGGCAGATAAAATGACGGCGTCTATGAGGCTGTGAGCATACCTGTTTGTCTCCGTCACAAGATAGGTCATGAATTTGTTGTCGAAATACGCCTGGAAATATTCCATTTCTGCCATATCATCCCCAGTAGTGGCATCAAACGTTGGTATTCGTGGGACAAATGTGGCACAATCCTCCCACACAAGTGCACCCGGGGGTTTGTTGATGGCTCCAACACCACCACGAGCACCAAAAACATGGCTACATCATCTGGTGCTGGAGCTGCGTGAGGGTATGGTAGGCGATGAGGCAGATTTACGTAACACGCCTACCACGAACACCTAATGTTGAGGGGCAACTGTCGTCATTGTCCTGTTGCTGCGAGACACGCTGCCACCTGCCACGATGTGTTGCTGAGGCAGCAAAACCCTGCCTGGTAATACCCTCGCTGCTTGTACTCGGGTTGTCCACACTACTCGTATCGGAGCCTATGTCACTAAAGCCCAAGAAAGATTCATCGTATGTACTGTCACTGAATAAACTTGCATCTGGGGACATACATGATGGTGGTGATGATAACGGTGTTAACCCACGGCGGCGAGGCAGGCCGGGCAAGGCGCGTGTACTGTACACGCTCGCCACATCATCCACCTCAGTCTCTCCCTCACTCGTATCAGACCTCTGTGTAAGGTCTTTCTCTGGATCATAGTCTAAGTCATCATCCATAGCACCGTCATCGTACAAAAGGTCGCGTATCTCCTCCTCAGAGAGTCGTTTTCCATGACCGCGGGTCACAGTGGAGCGGGAGCTCGAAGACGATTCGTCAGACATGGTTGTTGCTTTGAAACTGAGGTTCCCCACGGCCGCAGGGCATGCTGGGATTTTTTTTTCAAGATGGCGGACGATCAATGGGGCCACCATGCATCCATTTCGTACCGGGGTCACCGCGCGCCAGTTTTGAATGGAACGTGAAAAATACAAATACCCGACCCCCCGTTGAGGGCCTGCAGTGCATGTGCGTTGTGCAGTTGAGCGGTTAAGGAGAATGTGTTGGTTGTCAGCACCTAAAGTTGTCTTTTCCATACTTTTATATACACCTTTTGTGTGCTTTAGATTAATAATAAAACTTAGTTTTCTTTACAACAATTTCTTTTCTTGGTAGTTCATCCCAAGATACAGCTTACTTGACTGCAATAAAAAAAGTTTATTTAATTTTCAAGTCTTTAAATTGCTTCTTGAAAAGATACTTCATGACAAAATCTTTTTGGCATATCTAATGGAATTTTTATATTTTTGCAGCCTTTACGTCAAGCTCTGAAGATGTTTCGTCGTGGCCTGAACTGTTCTGACCCCAATCTGATTACAAACAACTTAGAGGCTACGCCACTCACTAAACAACGGACCGAAGATGAAGGATCTAATGGAAATATTAAAACTCGCCCAAAGAGTTGCCAGAAAAGATGCAGAAAAAACTGTAGCAAAAGATGTAAGAAGAATCGTGGAAAGACTTGTCTCGGTAACTGCGGCAAGAACTGCCGCAAGATTTGTCGTGAGAATCGTACTCCTCGTGGTCGAAATAGGAAAACTGGTTCACATCAGAATCGTTCTGCTTCTAATGGCAACAGAAAGCCTCTTAAAGATGTTTTACCCCTCGATGGCATTAGTGAAATAACAAATTTTGTGCCATCTAATATTGAACATCCAGTATCAAACCAAGAAGGTAATCAAAATATCCAGGAAACAGTGCGAGATGAACAGTAAAAATCCCCTAAAAGGGATGTTAAAAACTATTTAGTTAATCAGAATGAAGCAGAGTACTGTACTGTACACTCCTATAGAGGCTTGCAAATAACTGTGGCACCTTGCAGCCAATAATTCATTGACAGTGGTTGAAGATACTGTAATAATAATCGAAGATTAGTCAAATAGAACTACAAATAAATGCTTTTCAATTTGTTTTAGATACCTATTATCTCTTTTGCAAGATACTTGTCTAGACATTTTTTGTTGCTGTAATTGTTCTTTTTGAAATTGATTTTGTAGTCGTGTGTGAGAAAAATATACAAACATTTTCATAAATCAAATAATAATATGAGGTAATATCAACTGCATAAACCTCAGGACTAATAAAACGAAGTGAAATGACTTGTGTGTGTGATCTTATCATCGCTAAATGATGAAGTGTCATCATAAACAATAAGTATCCCGGATATCATCTTTACGTTTAGAGTATAATAGTTTAAACAGACTAGTGGTGTAACTGTGCTGTTTTACAGTTACACCCCATCCAAGCTACATACTGTACTCTCTATAGAGAGTACAATATATTGTATAGTCTAGATGGGGTGTAACTGTGCTGCTACTGCTATAAAGTACAGTATATATACTCAATACATACACACTCATAGATACTGTATTTACATAATTTTATGCAAGCTGTAGAACATGCATCTTGTGGATTAAAGTCACTTGATGGCAGCCAACTATATGCATAGAATGTCACAATAATATGGCTAAAAAATAGTAACCTTGACCCATACGTGAAGGTGATGCCCTTTTAATCCAGGGTGGGCTGAATTGTTGTCATTTTCCTATCATTTCATGTGTGGGGTTGGGTTACTAGCCAGCTATATTTACAGTCCAATCTCAATTTGATGAACTACATGGGACCAACCCCGAATAATTGCAACCGAGATTTGCCGAAGTGAGATTCATCGAACTAAGGTTGTACTGTGCATTTAAAACCCTAGATTATTAAAATACTAAAGGTCTCATTAGAAACACAAAATAATATGGATTTTGTGCCATTGACACTGTACAGTATTAGGACCTTTATCTGAGTACTTTAATTACATTAGAACACTTGAATGATAAGACCAAAATGATTTGTATAAATAACTACTGCCTCATCAATCCATATTCAAAATCTCTATTTGAATATATCATGCTTGGGGCAGTTATTCAAGATAACCATAGTGTTTTACTCGTGATTTACAATGTATATGTGGGTATAATTTGATACAAATTTTAATAGTTAAAAAAAAAATGTAATAATTCTTATTATAAAGATAGAAGATATAAGCATATACTTTGTATTAAATAATTATGAACAGATGTCTTAGTTTATCATAATCTATATTTTGAAAATCAAAATATTTACTCAGAAAATATTCTTGAGTTTAGTATCTTGTACTTTGTGTAAAATTACTAATAATTTCACAAAGAAAAATTTATTTCTATAATACTTTAAGTGACTGAAGTAAACACAGAGAGAACTAAGCAAATTACTGTAGTTTCATAATCACATAATACAGTGTTGCTCCACACACCTCTAATGTACCAACCTGTCCTCTTAAAATAACGTCGCTTTTTGCTTGTGTGTTATGGCCAAAAATGGACGTAATTTGAAATGAAGCGTTAGCATAGCGTTTCTGCCCGAAACGCTATGCGCGCTAGTGGTTTTACAAGAATGTAAAACTTCAAATCTCTGTACTCTAAAACCCAAAGTACCTTCTTTTATATAAATAAATAAATAAATAAATAAAAATTAAATCAGCTCACGAAAGTGATGAACTGACCCATTTTCTGTTTTAGTCCTCCGGTTTACTTGGTTAGGTTAGAAGAAACTTTCAATTAATGGTTTTCATGACTTTTGAAATCTTGGGAGAACTTCTTGCCCTCCTAACCTACCAGAGGACTCTTAACTTGCTGTTTTTGAGAAAATAAAACTGTAAAATTTATTTTCAATTATTTTTTATTTTCAAATTACATCCGTTTTTGGCCATACGGGCAAAAGGCCAAATTCAGACGTTATTTGTAAGAGAACAGATTGAATGTATACCCTCCACTGTGCTGTTCTATACATTCTATTTTGTTGTTCAATACCCTCTACTGTGCTGTTTGATACCCTCTATTGTGTTGTTCGATACCCTCTACTGTGCTGTTCGATACTCTCTATTGTGTAACCTGCTCTCTACCTGCATGAGAGCAGTAGCAATCCTGGTTGCAATTCTTACACCATGTCGTAGCACAGTCGATTAAAGCACGTCTGGGATCATCTTGGACGTAAGTTCGAACCCTCATCACGGCCCTTGTGGATTTATTCGTTCTGGGAGTTGTTCTACTTCCCAAGCCCGGCCCGAGGCCAGGCTTGACTTGTGAGAGCTTGGTCCAACAAGCTGTTGCTTGGAGCGGCCCGCAGGTCCACATATCCATCACAGCCCGGTTGGTCCGGCACTCCTTGAAGAAAACTATCTAGTTTTTTCTTGAAGATGGGTACACGTTTGTTTCGACAATATTTCTTATACTAGCTGGGAGTATGTTAAACAACCGCGAACCTCTGATGCTTATACAGTGTTCTCTGATTGTGCTTCTGGCACCCTTGCTCTTCACTGATTCTATTTTGCATGAACCAGAATAGAACACACATGAACTTGTGTGTGTTGTTCAATACCCCTCTACTGTGCTGCTCTATATCCACTATTGTGTTTTTTGATGCCCTCTACTGTGCTGTTCTATACCCCTCTACCATGTTGTTCAATACTCTCTACTGTTGTTTGATACCCTCTACTGTGTTGTTCAAGTTCAATACCCTCTAATGTGCCGTTTGATATCCTAATACTATGATATGCGAACCCCTGTACTGAGGTTTAAATACCGTCTACTGTATTGTTCTATATCCCATACTCTGTTGTTCTATATCCTATACTGTATTGTTCTGTACCCTTTACAATATTGTTTTGTACCCTTTACTGAAGTTTTCTATACCCTTTATTGTGTTGTTCTGTACCCTGTAGTGTGGTCTTTTGCATCAGTATGTGCACACTGGTATACCCTGTCACAGATAAACTGATGTATCACTTATCCAGGAACCCCTAGCCACTGATTACCATCCATTTAATGATCAGATGCAACAGTGCTTAACCTGACTGAACTGGCAACATACACTCACACTGTAAACTGCTACTTGGTGCAACATAAAAGTACTGAAAAGTAATCCTATTTATAACAATGTGCAGTATGTATTGCTTCATTGAAACCTATAACAGCAAAACACACTTCTGTAATAGTCACCTGAGGTCTGCCAACTCTAGTGGCAATGATAGGGACAGGAAAATTACAGTTGTCAAAGGTACATTTTTGGGCTTTAGTAAACAGTATGGCAGGTACTCAAAATATTTTATTGATCTGTAAATACAATACGCAATGTTTTATTGACCAATAAATACACTACTCTAAATGTTTTACCGTTCAATAAATACAGTACTCGAAATGTTTTATTGATCAGTAAATACAGTACTCAAAATGTTTTATTGATCACGTAATTAGATTAATAAATGTATTAAGTTAAGTATGCACAGAAATTGTTTATGTTATTTAGAAAAGTATACTATTTATTTCACAAATGTTTAAACCACCCAACAATAGTACAGTACTTATGTAGTTGGTGTAGCTAATGATTGTTAGTTTGTAGCATAGATGCTTCAAGGTTACAGTTGTCACAGTACGATATAACTCAGTTTATAACAATAAACATTGTAAACTATATCTTCATGGCTTCTGTTTAATAAGATATAATCCTTACAAAGTCTCCCATTACATTGTTTACCTGAACAATGGAAACAATTTTACAGTCTCCGTGGTGTAGTGGTAAGACACTCGCCTGGCGTTCCGCGAGCGCTATGTCATGGGTTCGTATCCTGGCCGGGGAGGATTTACTGGGCGCAATTCCTTAACTGTAGCCTCTGTTTAACGCAACAGTAAAATGTGTACTTGGATGAAAAAACGATTCTTCGCGGCAGGGGATCGTATTCCAGGGACCTGCCCGAAACGCTACGCGTACTAGTGGCTGTACAAGAATGTAACAACTCTTGTATATATCTCAAAAAAAAAGAAAAGTTTACCTGAACAATGGCAGGGGAAAAATTGGTAAAAGGAACAGGGAAGGAGAAACACCTCAAAATAGCAATACTCTTAAGGTATAGTATTATACGAACAGTAGGAATCTAAGAAACAAAGTAAAAAAATTTAATGCTCTTATCTGCACAACAATAGATGTTATTGCGCTTACAGAAACATGGATAAATATAGAAAACAGAAAACTATTAGCTGAATATCAAATAAACAAATTTAAACTATTTCATACAGATAGATATATTAGACGAGGAGGGGGAGTAGATACTTTAGTTAGGGAAAATTTGAAATGCAGTCTCAAAGAGGGAATCAAAACTGAGCCACACACAAACTATTTGATTAAAATTAAACAAAAAATCTAAAAAACTTATAATAGGAGTTATATACAGGCCACCAAACTTAGAATGGAAGCAAAGCATCCATGGGATGTAATATAATATCTAGAGCATCTAAGTCAAACAGTATTTGTTATGAGTGACTTTAATTTTAGTGGAATAAACTGGCTTAACAGAACAGGGAATAATGAATTAGAATACACAAGAATACAGATAATCAAGACGGATGAAGATAGACAGAGACTACAGGATGACCTGGATAAACTGGAGGAATGGTCTAGAAAATGGCTGCTAAAGTTCAACTCAGGAAAGTGTAAGGTGATGAAATTGGGCGAAGGGAGCAGGAGGCTGAACACAAGGTATCATCTGGTAGGTGAAATCCTGCAAGAGTCAAATAGAGAGAAATATTTGGGGGTTGATATCACACCGAACCTATCCCCAGAGGCCCACATCAAAAGAATATCATCAGGGGCATATGCTAGACTGGCCAACATAAGAACTGCCTTTAGAAACTTGTGTAAGGAATCTTTCAGAACCCTGTATACCACTTATGTAAGACCAATCCTGGAGTATGCAGCTCCAGCCTGGAGTCCATACCTAGTTAAACAAGACAAAGCTAGAGAAGATTCAGCGGTATGCCACCAGGCTCGTCCCGGAACTGAGAGGAATGAGCTACGAGGAAAGGCTAAAGGAGCTGAACCTCTCATCCCTGGAAAACAGAAGAGTAAGGGGAGACATGATAACCACCTACAAAATTCTCAGGGGAATTGACAGGGTGGACAAAGACAAACTCTTCAGCACGGGTGGAACACGAACAAGGGGACACAGGTGGAAACTTAGTACCCAGATGAGCCACAGAGACGTTAGAAAGAATTTTTTCAGTGTCAGAGTAGTTAATAAATGGAATGCTTTAGGCAGTGATGTGGTGGAGACTGACTCCATACACAGTTTCAAATGTAGATATGATAGAGCCCAGTAGGCTCAGGAATCTGTACACCAGTTGACAGTTGAGAGGTGGGACCAAAGAGCCAAAGCTCAACCCCCGCAAGCACAATTAGGTAAGTACACACAAATCACAATAGTGTGATATATCAAATGAATAAATCCACAAGGGCCGTGTTGAAGGTTTGAACTTACTTGCAGGATGATCCCAGATGCGCCTTAATCGACTGCGCCATGACATGGTATAAGAATTGCAACCAGGATTGCTACTGCTCTCACACACCGGGGGGCCTGGTAGCCTGGTGGATAGCGAGCAGGACTCGTAATTCTGTGGCGTGGGTTCGATTCCCACACCTGGCAGAAACAGATGGGCAAAGTTTTTTCACCCTGAATGCCCCTGTTACCTAGCAGTAAATAGGTACTGTACCTTGGAGTTAGTCAGCTGTCACGTGCTGTTTCCTGGGGGGGGGGGGTGTGGAGAAAAAAAAAATAGTAGTTAGTAAACAGTTGATTGACAGTTGAGAGGCGGGCCAAAAGAGCAAAACTCAACCCCCGCAAACACAACTAGGTGAATACTTTACACAGATCTGTGTCTGGGTGGGCGCGTCTGGGATCATCCTGGACGAAAGTTTGAACCCTCATCACGGGCCTTGTGGATTTATTCAACGAAGTAGAAGATTTTCTTGAATTAATAGACGATTGCTTCCTTAAGCAACTCATTAATTAACCCTTAAACTGCGCATGGCGTATATATATGACAGGGCCCAATGGCACCATAATTTAAATTTTTCAAAGTTGTTCTAACGCTTTCAAATTTTTTGTGCATAATCTACTAGACAAACACTCCAACTTTGTCTAAATGATCATCAACGTAACTTGAAAAACAAGAAAATTAAAAATAATTATATAATTTAATATTGAAAGTTTCAGATTTTCAGATCAGCTGTAAAAATATTAAATATCACAAATTGTTCATTAAGTGTTATTATGCTCTCAGAATAGTATATGATCTTCATTTTAATAGATTTAGAATATAGATTTTCAGTATAGTTTATTCAGTATAGTTTAATGTAAAAAAATTGTCAATATGGCATTTGAAATATGCACCAAATTCAGATAACAAAATTTATAACTCAAAACATTTAGAGTTTATAAAAAATCCATTCTAATAGGAGTGTAGAACAGACAACAGCGCACACTACTGAATATGTAAAAATGGTGAGAATCAGTCGAAAACTGAATTTTTTAAGCTGACTCAATGTTGAAACTCTAGTTTTAGAGATAATTGAAGTTGAAGTTATCGACAATGTATAAGGTTGTTCTAATTCATTAATTTATTTGTATGTTTTAATTTAATTAATAAACATTGTTTGGCATTCATACTCAAATATGTGAAAGTTTTAGGTCAATATATGTTGAAATGAAGTCAAGAAAATATAACCCCCCAAAAAACAAAATATAGGATAATTGTAATAATTATAATGATTTAGGGGATATATTTAGGGTATACTTTACATACATACTTTACATATACTTCCTCTAGGGGAAGG